TTTGCTGTTAAAAACCATGTAATTATTCAACAAAGTAAAACCATTTCTGTTTGTATAGCTTATGAATTTTCCTTCTACTATAAGAATATTTAGTTAAGGTAATTTAAGATCTTTGGTCCTTTCAGGAAGTAACCTAGGTAGTTACATATTTTTGCCTCTGAAAAAATAGTCTGGATTTCCATTGATAATATTTTGACTTGGGTCTTTATTATGCATGTTATTTATTTTTTCTTTTGTCTCTCTCTGTTATTTAAAATTACAATATTCTGATCATTTTTGTTAACAAGAGTATTGCATTTATTGATAATATAAGAAAATGCTATGTGACCAAGAAAAAATTATTCTCTATATGATAGTATTTGCTATAACACCAATAAACAAGAGACTGGTGAAAAATAATGCACTGCACAAGTGTTAACTTTAACAGTGAAAACGATACACTTGAGATCATGGTACACATTGAACCCTTTGACTCAGTCTTGCCCTGAAAGCAACTGAGTTGATTACTTGATTAGGATTGAAAGGCTATTCTTAAATTTACCTTTTGATCTATCTTTAGAATGAAATTATAATTATAACTCTTAAACTTTGCTAGTTCTTAAGAAATAATTGATAGGTTTGATCTGTTTTTATAATGTCAATCATAAGAACTTGATGCACTTGAAGACATAACTGGAATCAGTCACCTTATGGATTTCTGAATAACGAAAAAAAATGAGTATATATTGAAAGGCCTGTATTTTGTTTCAGAATTGGTATCCTGTCAAGATAGTTTTCAGATTATATCATCAAAACAGTAAAAAGTAACATTTCCTTGACGTGAGACAAGTGATCTAATTTTAATGACAGCTACTGTTAATGCCAGGTACCCAGATATAGTTTATAATGCTTAGTAATTACAATGATCTTTATTCTCTTTTACTAACTATTTCAAGAAAAAAGAAGTAAAAGCTTTAAGAATGGGCACAAAAGGTAGCTATATTGGATCTTTTCTGTAAAGCAAATAGCTTTCAAATTATTCCATTAGCTGTCAGCAGAGTACAAAAAGAATTAATCAAAAATGACATCAATTTTACGGGCGTGCCAAAATCTCATGAGAAAAACAATCCCATCATAAAAAGAGAGAAAGTAAAGGTAGTATCCCTGATTCATAAAGGGATTCTGGTCCCCCCACTCCTCTCGCTGCTGCACGTACATTTCTGTTGTAGATTATATATTAGATATATAATTTCAAATTCTTCTGATGCATTTATTGCAAGAAACTCATTTGTCTAATGTACTAGTTAAAGTGAATCAATGTATTCCTGTATGTCTTGTTTTTACTAGAATTTTTTAGTTAATATGCTTGTTGGCTTATTTTTTTTTATTTTGACTAATTTTTAGCATAATACTTGAAATTATTAGACTGTTGTGTAGAATCATGATAGATCACTAAAGCTAATATATTACTTGAAAACAAAATGTAAGATAAAGTAGGGAAGGACATATCAGAACAGGTATTTTTGTTGGGCCTAAATGGAAATACCTAAGAATTTCTTAGTCAGTATTATTTACTGGACAGCTGTTTTTGAGGACCTGCTAAAATTTTAAGACTTTACTTGGACTGCTTACTTGGAGTGTGCTAAGTCTGCATGGCCCTGTTAATTGGTAACCCTGGGAAGTGCACAGGGATAAATATTACTTCTAGTCTTTACTAGACTTAACCGAGACTTGGAGTGATGAGTGGAACATGAAGCCTAGAACCAGAGTCTCTAACCACTTTTCAGTGCTCTTGCTACTAGTTTACTGCTCCCACCTCACTGTGCTCTGTGCAAAGCACAATAGACCTCAAACTTTAGTGGAAGGTGAGTGGAAAAACACATTAAAGCTAATTTGCTTCTAATTGTTTGCTTGTGATACATTGGTGAACAAAACAAAGGCCCCGTCTTTGAGAAATTTGTAGCAAAGCAGAGGAAGACAGAAGTTGAATAACAAACACAACAAATAAATAAATGGATTGACAAGTGAATTAATAAATAGAGTTATGTTAAGAAGTTTGATAATGAATTCTATAGAAGCAAAATGAATCAGAGCTGTAAGGGGTGCTGGAGTGGGGGTGTGAGAGAAATTTTCCCGTTTTAAAGTTTCTTCTTTCATTTAGGAAAATGTGTTCATCTCTACTTGCCTCATTATAATAATATATATAATAAATAGAATTCATAACTTTTTAACAATTTAAAGAGAAATTGTATAAATATAAATTATATATGTGTGTATACTCACACATGTGTTTGATACACATTATTCACAGATTCTGTATTTGGAAATTCATATACTTGCTAAAATTAATTTGTAAGCTCAATTGAATTCTCATTGGTCAATTACAGAGATGCATGTGTGGAGCAGCAGAAACCTTGAGTCACCCAAAAGCACGTGCTCAGTTGAGGTTGAACAAGGAGACACTGCCTTTTTATTTCAGCTCTTAGTGTGAACAAATATCCTTTGCAAGGGTAGTATATTTAGTGTCATGTTTTTCACAACTTTTTCTTTTTGTAATTTTTTAGTTTAAAATGCCCCTAAACATAGTGATAAAATTTTGTATAGTGTTCCTAAATGCAAGAGGTTATGATATGTTTTGTGGAGAAAACAGGTATGTTAGACTGGTTTTATTCAGGCATGCATTGCAGTGCTATTGGCTGTGAGCTCAGGTTAATGAATCAACAATATATATTAAATAAGATGTCTTTAAATATAAACGCATGTAAAACAAGGTAATGTGTTCATATGTTGATAAAAATGCTGTGACCAGAGGTTCACAAGAATCTAATTCTGTGTTTCCCCGAGGGGAAATAATTTGATATTTGCTAATTCAAATTTTATGGTGACTACTAGAAATAACAAGAACTAACTATATAAGGTTATAAAGCATTTAAGAATATATTAAAATGAATTCTTATAAGATTATATTCCATAGTTATTATATTTGCTAACTGCACATTTTATCCTTATTATTATTTTATATGATATAAGAGCTTAAAAAACATTTGTTGGGTGTTTCTGGTTAAGATTTCTCAATCTGATCCTGTTTGATGAGAAATTATTCTGAAGCTCCTTGAATATATTATATTAACTAGGATTTTTTCATTTGACATGTGGCTCATTTGAATATGTTATTTATAACAGTATGCCCATTTCTGCATTTTTCTTTCTGATTTTCTCTCTAAGCTTCAGTCTGGATATTTTCTATCAACCTACCTTCCAGTTTGCTAATCTTCTCTTATGCTATATCTAGCCTACTGTCAAACTTATTTATTGAGTCATAATTTCAATTTTTATTTGGTAGAATTTCCATTAAATCAATTTCTATAGATTCTAGTTATTTTAAAATGGATTTTGTAATGAGTCTTTGAATAAAAATTAAACTAAAAACTGCCTATGGAGTAGAAAGTTAAGGTACACTATCTATTACAGTTAGATGACCTGGATACAGAGAAGTAGAGAGATAAGGAGAGCATCTTGAGGAAAAGAGTGTGTTACGAAGAATACGGTGAAGGACTGGAGCTGGCACAGAAAGGTGACCAGTGAGAAATGCTGTGACATAATCATACCATCCCTCTTCTCAAACACACACACACCCCGCTTACCTGATACATTCAGTTAAGACTGCTGCTCACACATGCCCTTATGAATTACTTTGGAGAAAATCAAGGGAAAAAACAGCTAAGTTTCACATCTAAGGCAGTGAGGTTGGAAAAATTGGAAAGTATGACATACAGGTGAGAATAAGTTCAGCATGACCAAAAGCTCAGAGCCAGAAGTTCTCATAAAAACCCAATCCCCTAAAAATTCACAGAAATCTAACATAAGGTATTGAACTTCCTTTATAATATGGGTTAAGTCACAATAAGTTGATATCAGAATTACTAGTAATTGAAGCAAAGGGTGGGTTTGTAGAAGTTTGTCCAGAAATACTATAGGAATGAATATTGTATGGAGCCAAGGATGGATCTATGAGTAACAAAAACGCCTTGAGGGAAGATACTGATGAAGGTAGGAGAGTAACAAGATTGGTGCGTCTGGAAGTCAAAGCCGTAATGTCTTAAAGAGAAGAGGGTAGTAAACAATGTCACATATAGTTATCAAGTGACATAAGACTGTATAAATATTTTCTTTTCATTGGGTCATTTAAATCACACATAACTTGCACAAGAGCAATTTGAACAGCTGTCGGACTAGAAGCAAGAAAGTAATGGGCTGAAGCATGAATTTCAAATAATAATTAAATGCAGTAAGCATTTGTTCCTTTTCCTAGAAGCTTTGCAGTAAGGTAAGGAGAACAGAGTGATAGACAGAGGAGGATTATAAAGTGATTTCAGAAAATGTGTTGGTGAGAAAGAGCTAGAGGAGAGGGAGAAATTAAACATACATCAGAACACTCCTTAACATTTTGTGTGTGTGTGTCACAGATTCTTTGCTCATCTGATGAGATTTCTTTACTTTCAGAAAAGTATATATTACACGTACTCACCAAAGTTTGCATGCCATTTGAAGGAATTAATGGTGTCTTGACAAGCTAATTATTTCTAGGCTGAGAGCCTTTGCACCAAAGACAATGAACATTGGACCAAGATTCTTGAGGCAGAGGGAGGAACCAGGATCAAGAGCAAGAGTGAGACATGCTGTCTTAGAATTGAAGGAGGGGTTACTATAACTATTTCTCAGAATCATAAGTGCTTTTGGAAACAGTAAAGAGATGGCCCTTAACACCCGTACACTGACATTCTGAGCAGTTCAACAAGATTCTATATCTACTTGGTAGGTAGAGAGAGTCAGTCTTTTCTCTATGCTTTAAGAAGAGTCTGTGTCCGCCTCTATTATATCATTATCATCGTGTTTGAGCTTTACAGTTTGTTTATTTATTTATTTATTTTTAATAAAAACAATTCAACATTATTTATCAGCTGGGTAGTGAACAAAACGAATGGGTATATTTAGGCTTTAATTCCAACAGAGGGCAACTGGGAACCAAACTGTATTGCTTCTCAACAATTTCTCACTTCATTAGTCATTTCTAGGTGGCGACACTTTGGAGCAGAGTAATATTATCTCCTTTTAGCATGATCCGACCTAGTTGTTTTCTTGACTTTGTTTTAGAATGAATCTCTTCCGCATCATCTAATACGAGGTTCATATACTCATCAAAACCAATGATGCAGCCCTCTATCCGCATATTCACTTGCTCATAAAGCCACACCTGAATCCGAGATCTGTTTTGCAAGTATCTGAAGATGAGGTTGATGGGCTGCACCATCACCTTCTGGACTTTTTGACCCTGGCCGCGGTACGCCATGCTGGAAGCTCACAAAGACCGACCACACTAAACGGCGCGCAACCTCAGAAAGCCACTTCCGGTATTTATTTATTTATATACTTGCCTTACACAAATACAGAAGTGGATGGATTAAAATTGCCACACTTTATTGTTTATTTGCTTCCATCTGGCATATAGTTGACAGCAAAGATCTGTGTAATTTTTCCTTTTCAGTTGCTGAATGTGTACTGAATAAGTGAGTTAAATTATTTTTTAAGTTGCAATGTAGTGAACACAATGAGAAATTTGTTGCATGTATAAGTGATTTCATAGAAAACTCAGCAGAACACTCTGAGTGAGTCACCCTCATCAGTTGAAACTTAATGCTTCTTCTTGAGCATTAACCATATGAACATGTAAACAAGATTATAGACAGATTAATCCCCTGAATCTGAATTCAAACTTTTGTAACTATAATTTGTATTAATTAATACTAATAACAATAATAATAACTATCACTTTAAGAGGCAACCCTGTGTTAAGTGACATCTATATATAATATACATAAATCTCTATCTGTACATACCCTCTACATATAGTATCTCTACATATATTGTTCTTAATAATAACAATGTGAAGCAGGCACTACTTTTATTTTATTAGAAGATGGAAAACTGAGTTTGCAAGAGAATAAGTAGCTTGTTTAAAGTCATGGAGCTTGAAACTGGCAGAGCATTAAAGGACCTAACTCCTGACTCTTCTTGCATATTCTACTTCCATCATTCCCATGAAACATGTTAAAAGGGAAAGTTGTTTTCTCTGGTTGGCACCCAAATCAGAGAAAACCATTGTCATTCTAGAGAAATATTGCCCATATCAATTTTATAGTACAGTCTCACAGAATTTGGAGAGCCTTAGTCAGCATACCATTATCCTTGAATACTATAGACACACTTTCATTAGGCCAGGTGATATATGATATATTTGGATATAATTATTGTCAAGTTGTCATGTTAAGAGACCCACCCCAATGAAAATGTTAACCAAAAAAAGTCCATTTGACCACTTGATTCTACCAAAAGTGTAAAGGTCCTGAGATTTTATTATACTTGGAAACTAGCAATTTAGCCTATAGCAGTTTTATGGAGGCTGGCAGAAGACATGAGACTCCTAGGTCAGTGACAAAGAACTCTACTGCTCATGGCACGGTAAGTAGCATGAGCTTTGGCATATTTGCATCAATTTTCCTTGCTCCCTAGTTCCATGGGTGCAATGTGAATGGGCCCAGATCAATGCCTGAACATGCGCTATGTGTTATAGGAGACTCAAGGGAACTCTGAGTTTAGGGAACCTCAATTGTTATAATGGGCAGTCTAATGAGCCTTTTGTTCTGGAGGGAGACACATCTCTCTCTCAAGGTGGTTAGCAAACCTGTCTTTTGCTATGAAGGGAGACACTATATCTTCCAAGGCTGTTTGCTATTATACAAACGTCCTTCAAAAAATAGTCTGGAGCAAAGGATAGTTAGTAACTCAAAGTAAAGGGCAGTCATTGCTTCACTTCACAAAACTTGCGGAAATGTGAGAAACCTGTGGAGAATTCTCTTTCAATAGGCTCTAAAATTTTATTTTTTTTGCAAACATCTGACATTTTGTGGAATTTTTTTCTATTTTAATTTCTCAGTATTAGTCAGCATCCTTGCTTAGAAACACACATTTTGATCTTATTATGCTGTGGGTATGATTATCGTATGAATCATAAATGATGGTATGATATATCACCACCTTAAAGTAGGAGCAACTCATATTTCTCTTAAATTATATATAATTACTCTTGGGAAATTGTATTGAAAGACTAATTTTACATTGGTGTGTCACTTAATTACACATCAGTAGTGACATGAAAAATTCAAAATATTCTATAAAGCTCCTCCAAAAAAGTAATAGTCAAGACAATTTTTTACTCTGGTATTACCAAAATCAAGAGTTTATGGATCATCAAGTTTCTTATATATAAACTCAGGTTGCTGTTATTTCAACTGAGTAACCAAGCCTTGCTAAATCTTCTAATTTCTCACTTGGGAAGGTAGTGGGAGCCCCGAGGGTGTGTTGGTCACTCTGCTCCAGGCGCTGCTCAGATGCAGTTCCTGAAGCTTATTTCTTCCTTGCAGGGAGCTCACAGGACTCAGCCTGCGTTCTGCCTCCTGCCTCTCTTGGTTTCTATGTGCTCATCCATTCCATTCCTTGGCTTTTAAAAAACATTTAGCTCAAATCCAATTGCAGAATGTAAAGTAATCTCCCTCACTCCTCTCTTCCTAGCAACGTTGGAAAACAAACACAGAGATGCTTTTTTACTGAAGAATTTTAATGATAATCACTGTGGAGAAAGCAACTGGGATAAACTAGAGTATTCACATAAGGAAATCACAAAGTCTCAGATCTCTGGCAAAGTTTTTAACGTGTGAGAATTCTTCAAAGGCTCTCCATTTCCTACAAGCTGAAGTCCAGGCACCCTAGCCATACAAGCCATCCTATCACCTAACCCCACTTCACTGTCTATCCGTGTATCACTCACCCCTCGTGGGGCTGTTTCTGGTCAAGGTCTGCCCTGTCTGCATGTGTCCTTGTCTTTATGAGATGCCTTTTCCAACCTGTGTTTGCCTTATTTATTCTTTCTCTTCTTTCAAGGCTTCATATTCAGGAGTTTTTAAAATTGATCTTCAGGCTCTGGACGGTTTTGCTCAGCGGTTAGATCGTCGGCCTGTGGTCCAGAGAGACCCGGGTTTGGTTCCTGCTGAGGGCATGTACCTCGGTTGCAGTTTGTCTCGGGTCCTGGTTAGGTTGTGTGGGAGGCAACCACTCGATGTGTCCCTTTCATGTTGATGTTTCTCACTCTCTCTCTTCCTCTCTCTCCCGCTCTGTCTGAACAAAAAATAGAAAAATGTCTTCGGGTGAGGATAAAAAAACAACAAAAAAATAAATAAAATTGATCTTCAGGAAGTTTTCTCTGACTATAAGGGGAATGCCTCAAATACACCATGTATATCTTTGTATAGTGCTTAGCTCAATTTAAAAGATTATAACATATATTTATAAAAATTATATATTTCTGTGTGGACTGAGACAAGCAGGCACCTATTAGACTCAACCAAACCAATCTTTATAAATAATTCTTCAACATTTATTCATAAGAAATGGTGCTGTAGAAATGCATTCTGTAGAAAGAAATCTAGAAAGAAGATCATCTGTAGCAGTGTTTATTCAACACTTTTTTTTCTCCAGAAAATCAGCTCTGGCTGAATTGTGTCCCCCACTAAAACAAGTCAGATCTGTGAGGAGATCTGTGGCCTTAATTTTAATTAATTATTTTATTTATTTTTTTAAGAGAGAGGAAGGAGAGGGATAGAAACATCGATGAGAGAGAACATTAACTGGCCACCTCCTGTATGCCCCTCACTGGGGATTTGACCCACAACCTGGGCATGTGCCCTGACCAGGAATCGAACCAGCGACTTCTTGGTGCATGGGTAAACGCTCAGCCACTGAGCCATACTGGCCGGGTATGGCTATATTTTTTTTACTTAAGCCTGCTCCTTATTGAGTTAGGGACTGTTATCTACTATTCCCACTCATAAGAACTTAGGAAAATATTACCTTGCAATCATATAGGGTACTTTTGCTGACCTTCTTATTCAATCATTTTTATCTTTAATTATATATTTCCAAAAAATGTTTTATTTCTCCTTATCAATGTTGACCAGGTCAACTGCCTTACTGAAATGGACTCTACTTCTTGGTAAACCAATTATATGAAAACTCATAGAGCACACTGTAACTCAGGTGGTCCAGGTGGCACAAGGCCACAATTTCCTGTTCAAAGAAATAAAAAAAAACCTCACACTTTGACATTCATATGCATAGGTAGGCACAATCCAGTTTTGTAGATGAGAAAATGTAGGTGAGAAAATTAAAGCAAGAAGCCAAGGGCTCTCTGTGTGCCTACAGGTGTTGAGGACTAATCTTCAAAAGCAAAAGAGCATTAAGGTCTAATTAAGGTCTAAAAGCTAGAGCACGAGTCTTTTCACAGTTTTTAAACTAAATTGAGGATGGAAACTGGGAAATCTGAGCCAGGGTTGCATTACTTTTGAATATTGGGCTGGCAATAAACCACGAGGCAGGCATTCAAGCAAAAATAGGGGTTAGGTTGATGGAATGTGGAGAAACTATAGAAGGTAAAACGATGGTAAAATGTGAGGTTGAGGTCGGTAGCAACAACTGGAATTTCTCTCTGAAAACAAGTGGCATAAATCAGGCTAACTATTGAGTCTGCGTTTTTAATATTTTATTTGTTTTAAAATGGTGAACCAGGTGTCAGCTTCAGTTATCCTCCAGCTGCTTAATACCAGTGTATTCATCAGCTTTGGCTGCTGTAACAAAATACCATGAACTGGATGCTTACACAACAGAAAATTATTTTCTCATTGTTCTGGAAGTCTGGAAATCCAAGATCAATGTGTCAGCCAACTCAGTTCCTCCCTAAGGGTGCTCTTCCTGGCATGCAGATGGCTGCCTTCACTTCCTGTTCTAATGTGGGTTTTGGGGGAGAGAGAGGCGGGGGGGGGGGGGGGAAGACACACACACACACACACACACACACACACAGAGAGAGAGATATTTCAGGTATCTTTTTTTTTTTTAACATGGCTTATTAATCTACCTTCATGATTTCTTAGAAACATAATTATTTACTAAAAGCCCATCTCCAAATACCATCAGAATGGGGGCTTAGGGCTTCAATATACGACTTTTGGGAGATACAATTCAATCCACATCATTGCCCTCTTGGTCCTCCAAAATTCACATCCTCCCATGCAAAATACATTTATCCCATCCCAACATCCCCTTAAACCCAAACTCATTGCAACATCAACCCTAGAATCTAAAGTCCAAAGATCTATCTACATATCATCCAAATTAGATCTGAGTGACACCGGAGGCAAAATTCTTCCCCAGATTTGAATCTGAAATCAGACCATCATGTACTTTCAAAATACAGTGGTGAGACTGACATGCCTCTTCTCCCATTCCAAAG